CTGTCATCTGGTACTGGACATGGAAGAAACAGAGACTAAGTAAGTTTACATTACAGTTATCTGGCTGTCGATTACATGCGTGCAGTATCTAAAGCGATTCACTCCTGGTGACCACTTCATTATCGTAGGCAAAATGTATTGATATATTAAAACCATTGTAGGAAATCCTGTAAAATAAAATTCTTATTGTCGATAATAAAATCTAATATTGCACAATTCAACTTTGTTTTAAATTTGAATTGATCATATTTTAAATAATAAATTAATTTAAACTAAATGTTACTTGAAGCTCTCTACAATTACGCGACAAACCATTCTTTCCATGCGCTTGTTGACATTAATTTCGTGCATGTGTAACTTCGTTCTAATTTACAAACTTCTGTATAAATATTATTTTGTCCAGTAGTGACTGTAATTGGTTCTCCTTTAAGTTTCATTCTTTCAAATCGCTTTCCCACTGTGTGAATGACTGGAGTCATACTCTTCAGATACTCCTTTCTAAGGCCTGGTTTACAGTTTGCCATATTTCTAATAGCATTCAAAGAACTGCACCGTTTTACTATTTTCTCTAACTCTGGTGTCATTTCATCTCTAGCAAGAGCACTATGCTGGAGTGCTAAATTAAGAATGGACATGCAGCGTTCTTTGGGACTTTACTTCAACCAATATTGATTTAAATGCATAAGCTTTGCCCTTTTCACACACAAATAAATCCGTTTTCAACACAAATTTTCCCAAACACACTTTTTTTCCATCACAGATTTTTACCATGTCTATACCAATTTTTTTAAATTTTAAAGAGAATCTTCCAAATCATAAGGATAGAATTATAGTCAATGAAATGGATTAAACATCATAGTTAACTCCGGCACTTGTAAACTTCATAAGTGGCTTCTGGACTGCCCAAAGCATACTTATATTACAGGTTCGATACTAATAAAGTTGAAAAATAATTAAGATTTTAAAGCAATGAACTTAATTTGTAAAATAATTTATTCAAATCCCGTAAATGATTAGTATACCCGGTAGTGTGTTAACATTGTAATTTTGTTCTGTGATTAAATATTGGGAAAGTTATACAATGTACATATAAGTAGTAATAAACTCACATCCTATGTCCAGAATCGAAAATTTAAGAACTTATATAACAATCTAAAATACCCCAAAATTAAAAACTTATGTAATTAAACACCTTTACAACCTAATTTAAACAATTAAAATAATACCCCGGGGGACCATAGTCAAACCATTTGATCGTTTATCATATATAACTCAGTATTTTCTTTAAAATTATGAACTTAAATCTAACACACATTACTTTTCCGGGGTTTAAAAAAAAAAAATGTATGAAAGAAGGCAAAGAGAGGCATTTTGTTCATGTACATTCATGTATTTAACAGAGAGTCTCCCTTTGAAACAAATTTTTTAATTTATTTTATTAAACATAACCCCCCTTTCTTATTTAAATTAAAATTTTTTTGTTGATTTTATTCAAATTTTTTGCACAATATGTAAGTAATAAAAGTCCATGCATGGATGCTATTTTTAATCCCCGTAATTTTCTTGTATCTTTTATCCATGCATTTTCCTTCAAGGAAAATAATGATGAATAAATTAATGGAAAAAACGTGTATAAAACCATGTGGTTTGGGTTTGTCCTTTTTTTTAATCATGATCAGCAAATCACAACTCCTTTGGCCTTTCTGTCTAACGGAAAAAAATAATCTCGAATGTATTAAAGTATACACCATAACTCCCCCATGACCCCCCCCCCCCTTTTCCCCAAATTTAAATAAATATTCTTATTCAATGGACTGATAGTTGTACGTAGCCTAAACTTTCAAAACCCTCCCGAAATATTTCATAGGCAAAATTCTTTAAACATTTTTGGGGGGGGGGGGGATATGATTGATAAAGTTTTCTCCCTCTCAAGAATATTTCACTAATATAGAAATCCATCATGCACTTGCCAGTGGAGAAACTTCAAATATCCTATAATAGGCACTTAAGGCCTTTGACCGGGGGAAGGGGGGCCCTGCCACAAACCCCCTTTTTTCGAAATTTGGTCTTTTTTTTTATACGGTTTTATCCGAAAAAAAGGCCTCCACGTCCCCCAGTGGGGGTTTTTTAAACCCCCGATGTAAGGATGAACTCCTTACTTCGCGACTATAAGCAACGCTCTAATCAGTGCGCTATGCAGGCGACCTTGGATGATATAAAATGATGATAATGAAGAAAACGGTTAGTAAAATAAGAAGGGGTCATTTTGAAATATTATTCTTATGAAACTCTGGGGAAAAATGAGAAACTATACTTATGAAAGCTTCCTGATATAATAAAGATTACTTTCTTTTCAAATCATGACCAGAGTTTCCCCCCCAAAGTGATTGAGTATTTTAGGGGGTAGGGTGGATGGGTTGGGAATTAAATTGTCTGCTTAAATGTCCAGATGTCTGTCTGTCCCTCAAAATTTTTTAAAAAGGCCAGGCTATAATGAAACCTAGGATGTGTCATGAATCAAGGCAATATTACGGCAAATTGAAAGGGCACTGGAGAAAGAATAAATGTTTTGTCGCAGTCATTTATATGTAATCGAGAATATTTTTTTGCTAATACTTGATACAGAGATTGATGGTGACAAAAAAGGGTTTTTCTATGATTGTGACTCTGAAAATAGTATCATTTCAATTTGGAAAATTTTTGTTTAAAAAATTCATACTTGATAAAAATTGTTTATAGTCTGCCGGTTTCAGATGACTTAAAATAAGGCCATTTTAACAAACTAATTTAGGATCAATGACAGAATAGTTGTAAACTTCTTGTCAGGGTTATGGATTTGTAATCACTAAAAGTTGTTTCAGATTGATGGTTTGTCTTGACACAGAGCCAATGCTTTTGATCAAGGTCACTGAACAGAAAAAAATATTTTCTTTCCCATGTATGAAAAATAGAAAAAGAAAATCATTGGATGCTCTTACTTGAAACATAGATTACTTATGATTGGAGGTTGTGTCATGATCCTGATCAAAAGGTTTTTTCTAGAAAATCTAGGTCACTGACAGAAAAAAAAAATGTTTAAGCATAACTTTGTAATTAAAATTCACTGGAGGCTCAACTGAGAAGAAAGGTTGTTCACATAAGAAAGTGCAGTGACCTTGACCCAAGGTCAGTACTTCCTGTCCATACCCCCAACGGAAGACCTACTCGTTGCTTTGCAATGAGCTCGGCTCTAGTTTAAAAAATTTTTGATCAACATCACAAAATTTATATAACTGGCCCAAACTGACTGATGATGAAATAAGCAATTAAATGTTCTACTTTCCTATTTGTAAGCATTATGTGTCCAGTGGTAAAAGGGGCCTATTAGGGGTAGCATAAAAAAAAAAATGTACAAATGTTAATAATTGATTTATCAAAAAAAAAATTTTATTTCCTTCTCCTTTGGGGCTTTTTTTTTTTCTCATGTTCATAACTAAACCCAAAAATAAAAAAAATGCTGGCCTTATAATAAGAAAGGGGCCTCTTTAAAAAAGATAATTTCAGGGCTGCTGGGTCAGGGGTACAAGGGGGGACTTTGACTAAAAAAAAATTAATGCTTTGTAAAACTGCCCTTTGACAAGCAATGGTGCCTTTTTCAAAAAAAGTAATTTCATAACTTTTGGCTTAAAACACGAACCAAATACCATCACTGGGAAAATTGTTACATGATACTCAGGTGACCTATAAGGCCCGTGGGCCTTGTGAAATTAAGATTTAAATTTGTTCAAATCATGAGTACCCTTTGGGGGAGGAAGTGAAACAATGGGGGGGTCAAATTCAAATTATTACAAAGTAATATATACAAACAAAATAAAAAAAATATTTTTCTCCCAAAAACTTTATCAAGAAGTTATATGCAGTATTGAAATTGATATGGAGGCATTCTCAAGTAGTATTAGAATTAAAGCCCCTCTCCTCCCCAGTAAACTTTTCAATTCTGATCTGATTTGGGCTTTTTCCTAGCCGATTTGCTCACGTGAGTTATGTGACCCCTGGGCCTCTTGTTATAAGTTTATTTATTCATTGTAATGACAATTTAAGTTGGATTTTATCGATATTCATCTTGATAAGTTTCTTTGCTGCATAAAATATTCCTATGCTGTACAAAATAACAGATTGTATGGCGGCCTCAAAGAGAAAAATTTTAATAAATTTAAAAATTCGTAATTGGAATTTAAAAAAACTTTTTTTTAAATTTTCGATGTGTAAAATTTTGCCTTTTCCCCTCAGAAACTTTACATAAAAGTGCTTCGCACTTTTATTCAGTTTGTGAGTAAAACAGAAATTTAAAATTCAAAAATTCTAAAAAAAAAACATTTAATCCTATAATATTTCAAAATTATACTTGCATCTTTGTCAAAATAACTCCATATAAAAGCTTTACAAAGGAAAGAAAACACATTACATTTGGTATTTTATGGTTATCCCACTTCATTGAAAAAAGAATGATATAAGGGTCATCTTTTTATTTGTTACGGTCATCATTCTCAAAAACTTTGAGGTTATTTCCTTAAATTCAAGTAAGTTTTAATAATTAACAGCAAATTTTCATTATGGCTCATCCAATTTTCAGGGAAATTTACACAAATGTTTTAAAAATTTTTATGAAAAATTTACACTGATCGGCTTGGCTTAACGTTTTTATGACTGTAAACTATATTATGGCCATCAGCTTTCCTAAATAACAGTAAAAAAGGGGGGACATGTTTTTTTTTTTTAAAAAAAAAAACCCCCTATTTTTTTCAGCTTTTTTAATTGTTTGCAATAAATTAATAAATAACATCTAAATAGGTTGAAAAAAAAATTTACAGAGTACATTAAATTGAAATTTTATTTCATCAGCAAGGATGTTTGAGCATAAACATTAAATTGACATGTTGGTTTTAAATTTTAGGGGAAAAAAAAAAGAATTTAATTGCAATTTAACCAATTTGGATTGTTATGATTTCATATTTTTTCAGTGCACAGAACTGGAGGAACCTGTGTTCATCCATCCCCTCTCTGTGCTACACAAAAAAAAACCAGAGTACATAGTGTATCAACACATACAAGAAACCTCAAAAATTATATGAAAGGTTAGTACATGTACAGAAAGAACACTGTGTATTTAGCAAGAGCTTATGTGATAGTAATGTGTCCATTGATTGTTTTTAGAGTTTTTATATGTCCGTCTTAAGAATATTATGTTATAGTGTTCATGTCCCTCTGTCAGCCTGTCTGTCTTAGAATCATCAAACTTGGCCAATTTAAGAATCCCAAGGTAGAGGGTGTGTCACAATCTATTTTAAAGGGCAAATTTTCCTTATATTTAATTTTTTTTTTTAATTATAAACTGTTTCTATACTAACTAATTACACAATACCAAAAAAAGTAAGAGTGTTCCTATAGGATTGTCTTGGTTGGTTGAAATTTTGATGTCCATGTTAATTTGAAAACTTATAGACCCAATTTCACTTAATAATAAAAGGGGTAAATTGTCTACAATGGGTGTAGTAAGGTATAGACAAATCAAGCATGCCCTTTTAAACAAGATTTTTTTTAACTCTCTTTTATGTTGAAATGAAGATTGATTGATTGATTGTATACTGTTTAACATCCCTCTCCAAAAATTTCACTGATATGGAGACGTCACCATTGAAGGGCTGCAAATTTAGGCCTATGCTAGGCACTTACAGCCTTTGAGCAGGGGGGGGATTTTTTGGGCCACACCTGCTTTTGGCACGGGGCCTCGGTTTAAAGGGTTTATCCTAAAGGCCTTCCCATTTAGTCGCCTTTTACGACAAGCAAGGGGGGACTGAGGACCTATTCTAACCTGGATCCCCACTGGGCTTGAAATGAAGAAGAAAAAAATAAAATGTTGATTTTTGTGTGTGCATATTTTTGCTTCCTATATAAATATATATTATATTTCTTCAAGTAAATGTAAACACAAAGAAGAATACCCAAGTATAAAAATTTAATCAAGTTAAAATTTGGAAAAGGGGGTTTTAAATTTTACTTTAGACTTTAATTAAAAATTCTACTTATATGTAATCAAACAGTGTCCGTAACTACATGGTATATAAACAAGGAATTTTAACGCTTGGGATATGCCAAAAACTGAACTTGGGTTAAAAACAATGACCTGCTCTAAAAAAGTTCTGAAAAGAGTTATCATTCTTAACATGGAACCCTTGCAGCAGTTGAAAGGCCTAAATTTAGATACAATAAAACCTCATTTATCCAGAACTTGGTTTTCAGTCACTTTGTATGGATATATGTGAAGTGTCCAGAACCCCGAAATTTTTTTGATTTTAGTTAAATAGTCTCTCATACCATTGGCAATAATAACAGAGTAAAGAATGTTGCTTTATATCAATATGTTATAATGTTTAAATATGTTAATAAATGTTAGTACCACTCAATACTTGTTAAAATACTGTGCATAAAAAAAACCCAAAGAAAAATCTGTAATAGAAAAAACACAAAACCATGGTATGAATGTATTTTAACTCAGTTGGAAAAAAAAAAAATTTTGCTGAGTACTAAAAAATTTCACTTTTTTTCCCCTAACTAAAATGCGCACTTTTCAAATACATGTTTGAGAAGCGTCTCATGGTACCCATTCCCACCTGCATTGCCATTAGCCATAAATCACAGGTCACAGGTGATGATCTTTTAAAACAAACATTCAGGCCAGTGTTTTTACAGCATTTAATACCCAAATCAAGAAATTTTAGCAGAGTTGACAGATCAATAAAAAAAAATTATCGTCTGGATGAATGAATAAATTTTAATGTAAAATTTCATTTTGTAGCGAAAAAGACCATTCGGATTTGTAATGTGGAATTCCATTTAAATGGGACAAAATAAAGTTAAAAAATTCACTTTTCAAGAAAAATCCTCCAAAATCTCATCCAAATTTTCCCCGGGGATCCCCGGGTATCTGAAGGTCCACTGTATTATTTTTTGTCATTTTACATTTTTACTTGGGGTGTACAGCACTTCTAATTTTTTCCCTATATTACCAATCTATTTTGATATACTGTAGTTACATGGAACTGGTATTCATAAGCTTTCTATTTAAAACAGGAATCACTGCAATAGAGCCTGAATGGTTGCCAGTTT